ATATATACATTTTGTAAAATACCCCCAAACCATACATTACCTGAACACACAGGAACAATAGAATAACAAGATGGGGCTGTTAATTTTGTACATCTTGTATTTTCATACAAAATATTGTTTTAATAAAGTATTGCACTAAAATCATTATTAGAGCACACAAACAGGAGGAGTGAACCCAAGCTCAGTTAGGCCTAAAAGTTGAGCTTTAATCATCCTTCAGTTCTTAATGTGAGGAAGCTCCCTTAAAGAGAACTTTAAGAAATCTGTTTTAAGCTTGTAAAAAGCTTTGTAAATGTTTGATGAAGTTAATTCTAACACTGAACAATAAATGCCAGTGTGTTCAATATCTAGGCAAGATATATTATGGGGGTTATTTACACATGGCATGTATCTTTAGATTATTTCTAAAACATATTTCCCTCCTCTGTGGTAAAAATGTTGACGGTTGCTATTACTTATCTAAGCAGTACACAGCCCAAGATGAATTGATGTACAATGATGGAGTTTTTATTACCAGCATCATGTGACCTCCAGGCTGTCTGAAGACTCTAGCTGCTCTAATGATATGCTGGACGGCTCCAGTAAAGAATACATATGTGTCCTGTAAAAAGAAATCAGAAAGCAGCTTAAGCACCTTAACTATAATCAAGTATATTCATATGCTGTATGCTAACTGGAATGATGTGCAAAGTGTGCAGCATCCAATGCAACGTGAGTTTATTTGTAATTCAGGGTTTTTCACTGTGCACATTACCACAGCTACTTTGTACTGCCTAAGGCTTTCTATGGTGTCTCAGTGTGCATAGCAAGCTTTACAAAGTACAGTATATGCAAACTTTCAGGAGCTTACTTGAAGCCTTTAGGGCCCATTCACACTACTGACCTGCAATAAAGCAGGAATTACTGTAATACACGGTAACACACATTATGCGCGCTGGTGCGATGCATTCTATTCCAAATGGCACCCAAACAATCCTTCTCAGTCTACTTGCATTGCAACACAGCAAAGAGGGAAAAGAGGAGTTTGGACACCAATATCAGACACGTGAAGACAAATATGTGGACAATCAGTGGACAAAGAGGCCAATGTAGTGAAGGACTGTTCCAACATAAATTAACAATAAACCTAACAATGAACTTCTAATGCAGCCACCATATCTAAGGACTGCTAAGCTGTAATGTATTATAATTTTGTTTTTGGATTTAGACATTCTTTAAGTCATTTAATATGCAAACATTGATGTCAGTTTATCATTTCAAGAGGAAAGAGAGGCTTTCAAACAAATTGATTTCAATTGTTGCAAGCGATGCTGAAAGTGTTCACGGTGAATGGAAATGTTGGATTTATATGACCCCCCAAAGCAGTGGAGGGGCACAGGTTACCTCTATGTAGAAGGCTCTGTATTAGAGGTCTGTTTTGCCTTTAGAGTAAAGTAGCCGATTCCATGAAGAAAATAGAAAGCACAGAAGAAGATACTCACTCCAGAGCTGGGGGAGGTCATTCTCATCTTCATCCAGTACTCCTCCAGTTTAGATACAAGCTTTCTCTGGTTGGTGACTGGCCGGTACACCCTGCTCTTCGCCGATGAACTTGTCCCTAGAAAGTCTACAAACTGAATCGGCTCTTTCATCAACTTTTCTTTTGACCAGGAAATCTGCAGCAAAATAAAGTGCAAGTCAGGATTAAAAAAAAAACAAAACGACCCCCTCCCTGCATTCCAGACAACCTCACAAACAACAAACTTACAAACCTCACAAACCATAGCAAACTTTTTTCCCGGTTCTTACATACTTCTGTTCTGCAGATATTGACTTTGAGCTGTGGAAATCCAGCTGCTAATATATTTCAAAATAAGTGCAAGGTTTTGCATGAACATGTGTTGTATGGAAACCCATTTTAAGGATCCTAACCACCAATAAGATTAAAGGAGAACTATGAGGTGAGTGAAAATCACTCATCCTCATAGTTCGAGCCGACCTGTGACAATGTCGGGATCCGTCCCGGCTGCGGAGGTCTCAGGTCAGCTCGCGGGTATACTGAGCTTCGGATCACGGGAGGATGCTAGTTTGTGTCCTCCCGCGACCCTGGGGAGAACTGTGGGGAAAAGCACTGACCCCATAGTTCTCCTTTAAAGCACTGCGTAAATTTCAGTTTAAATAAGCTAAATGCATTCCAGGTGCATCTAAAGCAAAAGGTGTTCAAAGTCTAGTCATTCGTTTTGTGATAAAGCAGCCACAGCTTAAGTGGAAAAGCCTGTTCCTCCGCCACCAGGCTGTAGAGAAGAGCCCTTGCTGTCTGTGTGGAAACAGTGGTCTCTCTGCGGAGGTCTGACACACCCCCTATTGAGTCAGAGCTATCCAAGTAGCAAATCACTTGATCCCTGCTGATTACAGAACTCTAGCTTTGACTCGGCTATTTCAGACCTCTGCAGAGAGACCACTATTTCTAAGCAAAGAGCAAGGGTCCTTCTCTACAACATGCTTGCAGGGGAAATACTTTTTTTTTTTTAAAACAAACTGTTAGACAAATATTTGTGGACCTTTTGTGTATTTTCATCTGGAATGTATTTAGATGATTTAAACTGAAGGTTCTGCGTGGCTTTGAAGTAAACCTGTACTGAGAGAAATATGGGCACTGTCAATGCTGACCTATTCTTCTGAAAATTCTAGTTGCCTGACCTAGCATGATCCAGTGGCTTCAAAACGTTTTGGGTCACTGACCTGGAACAGATCAGGAGGACATGAATGTAGATCTGGAGTTTTGACAACTTGTCAAATACTTGTTGTGGGTCATTGATTTAAATCTAAGACTGTAACTGTGAGGGAACTGGCATTTTTAGAAGGATGCCAGCAATGGCAGCCTCTATATTTCACCCAGTATGGGTTAAACTTAGAAAGTGTTACTGTTCTTGGCTTTTTAGTTCACCTAAAATGCATGCTGGGCATGCCATACCTCATACAACAGGCTGAATGCATGTTCAACCCCTATTGCTCCCAGCATAATGCTCTAAATTAATCACAGAAGCAGGAGAATAGCGGTAAATGATAACTTGTATGGCAGCTATATACGTTATATTAATTTGTGACAAACTAGAAGTTACAAGGACTGTGGTATGGAACAATATGCATTTATAGGTGTAATAAACTTACTATGTCAATGATTGTTTGAGTTGATCAATAACCCAATGAAGGCCTGTTACTCTGTGTACTCTTGTGTTTATGAAAATAACTGCACATAACTTCCTAGAATTTGGACATATTCATCTTCGGTAAAGCCGAGTGACACACTTGAACCAGTTTGTCCTTATTTACCTTGAAATAATTGTGCAGTTCATCTGACACACACTGGTAGAAGCTCTCTCTATCTCCTTGGTCTACAAGGCGATCGTGAAAAACGCGAGTAGACTCATGAATAAGTAGCTGGGCCGCCATCTCCTTTGTCACAATGACTGATTCGCTTGCCTGGAGCAAACCTTGGAGAACCTGTTAAGAGTTTGATAGTAGTGGGACAAGAGCTTATATTACTTAATTTGTAAATTAACCAGAGAACAAAATTTATAATAAACTTGGGAACAAGATGGTGTCGTCACTCCATCCCTGTTGTGTCTTGAGGTGAACATCAGTAGAGAGGTCATCAGTAAACATATGTGATATTCATTGATGGCCCACTGGGAATTGTTTAATTAAAAACTTTGCTTTACCCCCACAGCTTTTTATATTCACTTCAGTCCCCTGTTGCTTGATGGATTGAACAGTAGAAGGCCTGTATAAGCTCTGAGTTATGACTTGCAGCTTACACAAGGTTGAGGACTCTCTTCCACTTCAACATGAAAGCACTCAGAGACTTAGTGGCCAATTATTAAGCACAAGCCATCTCATGTGGGAGGAAGTAGAGTGAGTCACATGCTTCCCCATACTTGGAAATACTGAGAATGTCACTTTGCTTTCCTTGGTGAATGGAAAAGACAAGAGCAAAGAGAAGGTAAATAACAGGGGGCTGTGGGGGCAAGCATCAAAGGGAACCTTTTGCTTTGCCCTGTATGAGCAAAGAAGAGGTTCACATTAACATATATCTAAAGTTTAAGCTTTTTTTCATCTTTGATAGCGTAAGGAATTATTAAAATTACTGTCAGATTTCTTGCCATTTGTGTGCAATTCCAGAGATATCTCTTCACGTTCTGTCCCTTGGAAACGAAAGGAAGCGAGAGAAAATCTCACCAAAAGGGGGGGAAAAATCTCTTCCTAGATAGAGATCACCAAAAACAAGTGCCCCTATTGGAGGATTTCCCCTCTATTCCTGTTTCAGTAACACCTCAAAATTCTGGTTTTCCCCCCAACTTTCAGTCCCAGTGAAGTCATCAGGACAATAGAAAGCATCAATCTTCCTAATAGGAGCACTAACAGAGGTTCTAATCCTATGGCACTCTATCCAAAACTATACATTAAAAAAAAAAAGGAGAAAAAACTTTTACTTTAAGGAAGAGCTTTAGAAGGCCCTGTCTTATTGATATGTATAGGACAGTAGAAACGTAGACGGGTACCTTAAACAGGTCCCTGAGATTGAAGGTGTAATGGCATTTAGTCGGAGTAGGTAACAAGCTTTGACATGTCTTGAAGTAGATGGCAATCACACAGGATGACATTAACTCTCTGCACTTCTGAATGTCCGCTAGAAAGTCATGGTTCAGCAGAAATGAACCCAATTGTACCTAATGGGACATAAGTACAAGAATTAGGGTACATTGCCACAGTTATGTGAAAACAGAAACAAGCCAGTACATTAAAGTGCAACTCCGGGCTATTTTCTTTCCTAAAAATGTCCCTCAATACTCCCCTTTAATCTGGAGCGTTACCATTTTTACACCACAAGATGTCCTCAGTTTTTTGGGTTGAATGAAGCTGAAAGACTGAAGACATACGGAGCGTTGGGGAATTTCGAACAAGGCTTCAGTCAGGCTACAGGCCTGGTGGTCATGGTCTTGTTCCCTCCAGCTCCTCCAACCATGCTGAGAATTAATAAAGAAGGATGTGTGGATGTGTTAAATGTGTAGGTTGTTATGTGGGAACAAAAAGGGAGAGATTCTGCGTTATCGTGCCCTAAGTTAGCTGGTTATGCCTAAATAATGAGACTGACTTCACAGATTCACAGAGTTTGGATGTCTATAGGGTTACATAGGTGGGTTTGGCTGATGTTACTAAGGGGTATGTCATATGTTAGTCAGCTACCTTGCATACATCAACAAAATGGTATAAATACAGTATATCCTTGAAAAGTAAACAATCTAGCACTTTCCTCTTTGCTGTTAAAGTGCAATGTAGATATTTTCAATAAACTTGGAATAATATTTCACTGTACATGACAGTTATCGGGGTTCTTCACCATGGCACCCTACACTTATTGTATAATGCTGCCGAGAGCAGCGCTGACATCATCACATTTAAGGGGGAATATGATCACCCTGTAAAACACATAAGTGGTCCATATAGATACCGCTCAGTGTCTGCAACCCCCCAATGTAAATCCCTCCACTGGCTTCCAATAGCCCAAGGGATAAAATTAAAAATATTAACAACCACTTACAAAGCCATCCAAAACTCTGCCCCTGGTAGGGTTGCCACCTTTTCTTCAAGCGAAACCCGAACACTCTAGCGACGAGCAAATTGTTTTTAGGAGAAAGAGTCATGGCTTATGTATATGTAAATAGCGCCACCCATTCATATGTAAATATCACAGTTGAGACTATTGTCAGTGGGGGGCCAGTAGCCCCTATCTTCATTTTGGTTGCCTCTGTCTGCCTGAAATCTTTTGTCTGGGTTTCTGCTGCCATGAAACCCGGACACAGCATTCAAAACCTGGACTGCTAGGGTGAATCCTGGACAGGTGGTAACCCTTGCCCCCGGATATATCTCCAAACTTGTCTCAAAGTATCACCCTAACCGTTCTCTCCACTCCTCCCAAGACCTCCTGCTCTCTAGCTCCCTCCTCAACTCCTCCCATGCTCGCCTCCAGGACTTCTCTAGAGTCTCTCCCATTCTTTGGAACTCCTTACCCCAACCTGTCCATCTATCTCCCATTCTGACTGCCTTTAGGCAATCACTAAAGAAAGACTTATCTCTTCAGGGAAGCCTAGCCCCCTTCAAACTAGACACTGAACCATCACATTCTCAAGCAATTCATCCCCACACAGCTATCTCCTCATGTTTCACTTTCCCCTCCCTCTCAGATTGTAAGTCCTTACGGGCAAGGCCCTCCTTGCCATTTTGTCTTGAATTGTATTGTAATTATAATGTCTTCCCTATGTTGTAAAGAGCTGCGCAAACTGTTGGCGCTATATAAATCCTGTGTAATAATAATAATGTAAACTTGGTTCAATGTTGTTGCACTTTAAAGTGACATTAAACCCTCAGATTTTTTAACATAAACCAATACTGTAATGTGTGCCTTACTGTAATCCATGGTTGTTTCCCTTCTCTTTGCTGCTCTTCCTTTTAAATCCTCATGTCTTCTCATGCTGGGGGAGAACTTCCCTTTGCAGCTGAGTGCCTCTTCCTGTAGTGCTGGCTCAGGTTGTGAACCTATACACAGACACCATGTAGCCATTCCAGAGACAAGGCAGTCTGTTGCAAAACAGAAGTTCTGTCCAGCATGAGAACAGATACAGATTTAAAAGGAAGAGCAGCAAAGAGAAGGGAAACTACCATGGATTACAGTAAGGCACACATTACAGTATTGTTTTATGTTAAAAAATCTGAGGGTTTAATGTCACTTTAAGGTCTTTGCATATGAAAAGGAGATACTCTTGACGCCTAAAGGAATAGAGTTTATACCTTTTCCACTGGACCTAGTTCTAACCAACTCTGTTGATTGTTTAAAAAAAGGGGCTGGATGTGTTTCTAAATGCACAACATATAGCTGGTTATTAATATTTATATGAAGACATAGTATTTTTGGGCCCACCTATTTTTTTATGGTGACCTTTACCTATTTCTTTTTACTTACATATTTTTTCTGCTTTACCCTTTTATTTAATATTATGACAATATGGAGAATGCCACGGTTTTTCTTTTGGGTTTGTACAAAAGAGTCTTATAAACAGGTTTTTTTTTATATATATGAATTTTCTTTCCTTAACATTCAGGATTTCCTGTTCTCAAATGGGAAACCTATTTCCCAGTAACATTTGCCCTATTTATACTATAGCGAATGTTATATCTGCCGAGCCTGATTTATAATTTGCAATCGGATTTTTTCTAAGATCAAAAATGTACTTCTGTTTGAGTCTCATCACGCTCACACCCATTCTCCCACTAGTGCACACACTTGCTAGAAATTACCATCTGCACCGGATGTCTCGGTGTAGGGGACCGTCCACCTCATTGCTCTCTACTCCATGATACCCAGAGTCCGGACCTGATAAGCCCCCCCCTATGATGCTCCTTTTCATGTCATCTTAGGTCCTACTCACTAAAACTGAACAGCACTGCCCTCTTTATACGCTCATAATGATCTTTGACACTTGTTCCGTTGATTAGTTTTACAGTCTGCAGGGCTCTGCCCAATGTTATGACTGCATACTTTCAATTTGCGTTCCTTGTTGCGGGGCTTGCACGCCCTATTTCTGTTCTCTTATTTTTGTAACCTTTATGTGAAAACAAAAATTATAAAAACCAAATAAAACCTTTGTGAAAGAAATTAGGTTTTCGGACAAAAATCCTCATTTGGTATCTTCATTCTTCAACCACTATAGATGGCACAGCTAATGTTATCCTGCTGTGCGAAAGCAGCCAAACAGCCAGCCAATGTGCATAGTTCTGGCCACATAATAAAACCTGATAGAAATGTGTAGACTGTCATTGCTTACCTTTCCTGAAAATGCTAGCTCCCAGATTGTCATGCTAATCCAGTAGCTTCAATAGTTTCTGACATGTGCATTGATTTCTATTACTTTGTAATACTTGTTCCAGATATGTGACTCCGGGGGGCATGAAGGGTATGAGATACTTGCGTCACCTTCTGTGCATTAGGATTCCACTTGGCCCCTACATTACTACTGTGTTCCTGCCAAGCTGTCTAGACATATTGCCACGCCCACACCACACAGATCCTTCAGTTGGAGTAGGTTTACAAAAGAGTAAGGATCGGCGTCATCAGGACTAAGTATGCATTCCTGATCTTTTACTGGATGTTCTTTTATTTATTACATTTGTTTTATCAACAGAGCCACTAAAATACATAAGTGAGAAGAGTTTATGTTTGGCTTGGCCACAAGGTGTCGGCAGAGCTTCATAAAGAATCACTGAGATGACAAAATATTTGTGGAAGAATGCACAGGATTACACCTGCACCAAGCAAGAAAGTGCTGAATAAAGAGATGGCAGTATAAAGCAGGCTATAAACATTGGATTGCAGCTGATGGAGCTTGCACCGCCCAGCTGGTGAATGAGCTTCTATTGAAAGATAGTGACACAAATATGCACGTATACATGAGGGAAATAAGCAGATATCCCCTTCCTCTGTCAGGCAAAATCCCTTCCCGGCAATAGACTATCTCCTTTAAAAGTTTAGGTATGGGTATTAGCTGGAGTTAAGTAATGTCTTCAGACAAAAGTTACATTTATGGATAAATCAGGTGAACGATATCTGTAGGCACCAGAAACTATAGTCACCTTCATAGTGGAATCGTTCCACTCAGTATCTCTTCTTTACCACAAGATATCCTCAGTTTTCCAGGTTGAATGATGCCCAGCATTCCTCAACCTGGAGGACTGAGGAAAAAACAAATGCAAGGCTTCATGACCTGATGCAAGAGCTGCTCTTTGCATTATCCAGGGCCACCTACCGGTGGGAGAAGGTTGGAGAAGAGGACCCAGCACATCACATGACTGTCCAGAAGACATGAGAAAAAGGTAAGTAAAATAAACAAAAAAGCATAATATACTGCTGGTAGTGTTCCAACACCGAACCGTGCACTGCCATATATTGCATGACCGGACCGCACTAAGACTGTGCGGACCGGGGGTTGGGGAACAGTGCGCTAACACATCTGGGCACAGCTCCTACGCTGGAACCGTCAGTGTGTCCAGTCCGAAACCTGACTAGGGCACAAACTGCATGCAGTCTGTATTTCTACCCAAGTCTACATGGCTTTCATCACTGCTAAAACTGATAAAATGATTGCCACACACTCTGCTGACCTGATGTATTTGGACATGGGGCCTATTTATGACTGGGGAAATTAATTCATTCTTATTTTACTGCACTTTGTCTCATTTAACTTATACATTTTCTTCACCTTATTAAAGCCAAGAATAGAAAACTGCAATGTTAGAACAAAGTAAAAAAACCTGTCAAATGACAATAGTCATTCAGTAACTGTGAGGAAAGTTCCTTCTGCAGCTTCCTTCCATTGGAAATAACAGATTACACCGGTTGCCGCAAACAAAGAAAAACTTTGCAAGTTAAATTTCTTTCCCTACTTGTATATGAACAGGGAAAAATCCTTTAAGAAAATGGATAATAAGGAGGATATTTCAAAGATGTAAAAACAACTAATCTCTTCCAGGATCAACTTCCTTGCAGCTCTGAGATGTCATCTAAACGAATGCTGTAGAATGTGAAACGGTGTGTTACAATAAACTGTGTTCTTTAGTGGGAAAAAAATAAGAAAAAGGTTTTGGCCATTTAATAACTTGTAGCTGCAGAAAGCCACAGCCACCTTTTACTTTGCTGCATATGTACCGCCTTCCCACCGTATTGCCTACGTTACAAATCTCAAGTTATTAGGTATGCACATAATAAGCTTAATAACATAATATATTCTACTAGTGCAATATAATGCTTCCACAGTTCTCTTAAGTCGTTATCCACACTGTATTCTTGTTTACCTGGAATATATGCTGCAGTGCCTGCACAGATGGGTGAGGCAGGGTGAACATGCAGAAATGCTTTAGGAGGCGGGGGCTGAGCTCATTCCTTCCACCACCGGGGGGCGCACAAGCAGTGATGAGAGAGACATCTTGGATGTTCTGCAGGAAACAGCTAGTTGCTAAATTATGATTTTCATATTATTTGGTAATCAAATGTTTAAAAATGCCCATTGACACACTGACACACAGGATGACCACCGCTCAATAAGGGCAATTTTGGCCAGATCACAAAATAATGCCTATATCTCTACATTTCAGGCAACAAAAACACCCAATCACTTCTTTTAGGGCTAGTCATTAAGATAAGGTATATTATTTAGATGGTCACTATTGTTATTCCAATATGGCCAACACATAAACATGTTTGTTTCCAGTATACAAGTACAATTTTTTGCACCTATTGCTTAAAGCGGACCTTTACAATCAAAAATCTAATTCTACCAATGCATCCCTCTATGTATGATGATTAATAATTACATAGACATGTCAGGTGATTGTGAAATACTTACACTTGCAGGGCATTCACTTCCTGCTTTGAAAGGGCAAAGTGACTTCAGTTTGCCAAAACAATGCAGCAGCAGAGCATTGCTGGGAAATCTCATCTGTAATCTCAGGAGATCTCAGGGAAAGGCATTTTCCTCCCCTGAGATGATGTGCATGGTCACATATCTAGTCACATGTGTCAGAAATCCAGGAAGTAAAAGGAGAGCTAGTAACCTGCACTTAGTAAATATGGCCTCATTCAGAAAACTGGGGAAGAAAAGAGAAATAAGATATGCAAAGAATAAAAAGCCGACAATTATCTAGAAGTATGTGTTTGTAGATTGTCATTACCAAACATTTCTAAAGGTGTGTTTGTTGGTATTTTAAAGATATGGTTAAAGGTCCGCTTTAAAACAACTGTTTTCTTTTTAAGCAGACTCATTTGGGGAATGAGCAGAATGGATTGGATTATGAGAACCCCCCCCAAAAAATTGCAATTTTCTTTAGCCAACAAATAAAAATTAAGAACTTTGGTATTAAAGTCCCAATAGGCTCAATTCACAAAGTTTCCGCATCTTGATAAGGATCGGACATTTTAAGTCAAAGCCCATCTCTCCTCAGCTAAAACATACCTAATCATACATATCAGTAAGGGCCTATTCACACTTGTCCATTTTCCTGCATCAAAACTCATGCATTTTGCTGTATGAAGACACATTCCAAGTGGAAATGCCAGTGTGGCTGAGTGGCGGGCTCAAACCAAAGCAATACAGTTTAGTGTAGTAAGTCCTAGGAAGCATGATCATATAACAGCCAGAATAATGAATAAAATACAGATACCCACCTTCCAAGTAAATGTTTTAGTGTCATAGAAGCCACCCAGTTCTAGGAATTGACGAATCAGTTCTAGCGGTGGCTGGGCGCCATATTGCTCCGGGTTTGGCATGTTCAGGTCATCAATAAATACAGCCATCTAAGAAAAAAAGCCATACAGTAAATAATAGACATACAGTAACCTCAGTTTAATTAAGAAAATCCTTTTAAAATCTGTTGCCACATAGCCTAGGTTCGCACCTTTGCGTTGCGTTGACACAAAGCACGTTGATAAGTGCTACTTTGTGAGTTTATATGCATTGTGTTAGGGCAGCCTACACATTTGAAAGGGCTCCTTAGCACACTAAAATGCACCAAGAAAGATCCATGTACTTTTTTTTAATGTCAGCACACCACAATCCACATTAATAACTTACTGTTGGGGCTGATAAAATCTGTGAAATGTGATATAAATTGAAATAGGCTCCCTGGAAAACAGATTGGAAATTACTTCTCTGTTTAGATGGATATCACAACACAGTCAACAAAAGCAGTTTACTAAGCAGTGATGCTGATTGATGGATGAATGCCTTAGGACCGTTATCCCATGGGCCAGTCCAGGCCCCCTGCTGGTATTTACTGCTGACAACTATTCAGTATTGCAGCATGCTTGCTGGGAGCAGGAGCATCATGATTGTATCTTCATCCTGTGTAACGATCGGCACAAAAATCCTAACTCAGAAGCTGAGACAGTGATAACCTTTTTATGATTGCTTAGACAAGTCTTTTGGGATTCTGCAAACAAGGATGCAATTTGCTGGGATCCACTTAATGTGAGTGTTCCAAGGATAGATGTGCGAATGGACAGAATGAATTAGAATCCCCCCTCCAACTTCCATTCCCTTCCTCACTCTATCCCCTCTTTATATCCCTATTTGCAATAAGAATGTATGTTTATTTCTACTTTTAAATAAGCACAACCTTTATTTTAAGATGCAGATGTCTGCCATTAAAACTATGACACCCCAGACAGCGCCAGTTCTACAGTTTCCGTGTGTTGTGGTGTGCTAAAATGCACATGCATTGGCAAGGTGTGTCACCCCAGCCCCACAACGCAGGCATTTTCGCACATTATGGTAACCCTGGTGTGAACCCAGCCTGAAAGTTTATGTAAATGCAAAAAATTACTTGCTCTCAATTTGCATGATTTTGACAGCTTAAGTTTAGCAGTAAAAGTTTTTTTTGTATTACTGTTTTAAACTAATTAATACAGTGGTACCTCGGTTCATTAACTTAATTCGTTCCACAATTTTGATTGCGAACCGAATCAAACTGTGATCAGAACGCGTTTTCGACTAGAGGAAGCCACGACCATGTGTCAGAGCAGGGAAGATGGCTGCGGTTGTGTTCGTCATCCGATGCAGAGTTTGCGAACGGTAGCAAAATTGTGCCGAACTTCCTGTTCGCGAACCAAATTGTTTGCGAACAGAGGCGTTCGTGAACCAGGGTGCCACTGTAAATACCTGCTGATCTGCCAGTTTCTCCTTCCCCTGTAGTCTTCCTGTGAACGACTGACAACACACACCACAGGCCCCCAGTGCTGTGGTAGCGGTGTCAGCCTGCCTCACATATGCTCTTCTGCATCGGGAGGACAGAATGCTGTGCCTGTAGGGTCCTGTTGTCAGGATCCTATGACTCGTATCCCTTAAAGATCTCCTATGTAGTTTGCCATGACAGCGTTACAGAAAAATGCTGTTCTCAGATGAATACTACACACACACACGCACACATATTGGACTCGGTTTGCAGATGGCCCTTTTTCTTGTTACAAACTTTCTTTTTGCTGCCTCACAGAAGGAATTAGCAAAAAGTGGAAAATGTGCATGTAAATGTAAAAAACAAATTATCTAATTTGCAGAAAAGACAGCAAAGTGACACCCAGCTGCTTATTGAAATCTTTGTTTTCAGTAATGAGCTTCTAAATGAATAATTACACATGGCTATCAGTATCTCCTGAGGATGTGTCCAATCTATGTTTTGGCACTTCTCAGATGACACGTTCCTGTTACAGAAGATTATGACAGATGCTGCACACCATGCGCACTGTCTTTTATAGAGAACAGAAAGTCAATTCTTTTCAAAAGTGTATGTTTGCACCCATGGGGAAAGGTCCGGTGCGCTTTGATTTGCTGAGCTGGGGTAGGCTATTCAAGCATGTATACTTTTAACACAACCAAAATGCATGTCATTGCAGTCTGCATTAACAGGTACATTATGGTGAGAACTAGGGATGCACCGATACCGTTTTTTCGGTATTGAGTACGAGTACCGATATTTTGCTTTCGGTACTTGCTGATACAGAGTACCAATACCGGTGCTTCCACTGGCTTGGAGCCGGCTTCCCGGGCAATCAGGAAGCCAGGCGGCCGTCATTACCCACCGTCCTAATTGCCCGGGAAGCTGGCTCCATGTTGTTTGGCCCGCTCGATTGTGATTGGCCGAGAAACCTGTTTCCCAGCCAATCAGCATTGAGCCGGCTTCCTGGCCAATCGAGCAATGACCCGCCTCCCAGCTTCCTGATTGGCCAGGAAGCCGGCTCTATGCTGATTGAATGGAAATGTCGGGATCCGTCCCGGCTGCGGCGGTCTCAGTATACCGCTCGCTGTATACTGAGCTTTGGGTCACAGGAGGATGCTAGTTTATGTCCTCCCATGACCCTGAGGAGAACTATGAGGAAAAACACTTACCCCATAGTTCTCCTTTAAGATAATTTTTCCCCGGAGTTCTTCTTTAAATTTCAGGAGCAGAGAGAGAAAAGAAAGTCAGCCATATACACTGGCACTAATTAGGTATAGATGTGTGACAAATGGTCAATAATACACTTATTGGAGTGATGAAAATGTGGATGTTGGAAAGTTTCTGCCATTTAAGCATAACATTTTTTTTACAAAAGTAACAATTGTCAAGGAATGGGAACAATCCGTTACTTGTGCAGACGTTCTGCTCTAATCAATAACCTCTAAGGTCTCTCTGCCTGGAAACAGCCACAAAAGTTACCTGAGTTGGGAAAAGTCATCTAGTCTCTGTGCATTTGCCAGTGTAAGACAAATGGATGCAAAAAAATTACAGTGAAGAGTTGTTATTCATCAGCTGTCCCGCTTTTTGGTTTCAGGTATAGACTTCTATAAAAATGTATTATTTAACCACCTGCGGACCGGCCACTGTACGTTGACTTGCTTTGGTTTCTTTTAAAGTTACTTTCAGTGGCTTTTGTATGCATGCTGACTTGTGTAGCATAGCAAAGAAGCTTAGATGCAAATTCCCTGTACACAGAATAGTTTCTTCTTCTACTACATGTCTCTGAATATGTGGCAATTTGTTAATAAGTATTTAAGGGATGACTGTATTTAGCCACACATGATGGGAAAAAATGTGTGGCCAATAGCTATACAGGCAAAAACCGCCTCTTTGTCACCTATTGGCACATGCCTACCATGACTTATGGTAAATCCACCCCTGATGGCCATGCATTGCCAATGGAAGAATGTCAACTTGCTATTCGTACTTGTTTTGACTTTGGTGCTCCGAGAGTATCCCGGCCCTTCTTCACCAGCTTACTCAGGATTTGGCTCTGTATTTTGGCTGGACTGGTGTGTGGTCCTAGCTGAATGGTGGAAACGAGCAGCTGGTTCAGTTTTCTTTTTACTGAGTCAGTGGCTGACATTCGCCCAGCGAGTGACCCTTCTGTAAAAGATGGCATAATATGTTACCATTCGTGCTATGTACTAGTACTGTGACATACCAATGCAGTTCAAAATTAAAACATGTATCAGCAGAGGGTTACTCTTACAATGTTTTAGAGATCCCAAGGAATAAGCAGCTGGGTTTAAACAGAAATCTTGGCTCATCCTGTATACATCTAGTGTAGCACCTCCTTCAATGTCCTGAGCCTCACTAGGCCTGGTTCACACCTGTATGTTTTGTAGCGCGTTCAACGCTTTACGAACGCTCTACAAAACGCTCAAACATGAAAATCCCATTGTTTTCTATGGGCATGGTTCACACCTTGCCGTATTTCAGCCCGTCTGAACACGCTACAAAACGGCCTACGCCTGAAAAGGTACATGAGCTTCTTTGCGGCGTTTTTGTTGCGAGTTTCCCCTGGGATACAGCCATATAGCCCTCGGAAACGCGCGTTTGTCACGCGTTTTTACCGCGAATCGTAAAAACACGAGTCACGAAACGCGCGACAAACACGCATATTCGATACGCCTAGGTGTGAACAGAGCCGTCAAAGAGGTCGCCTATAAAGGACTAAAAGGAAAGGCTTGAAAGGTGGGACAAGCGGGACTTTCGCATTAAAATGTTGGGATTTACATTTAAAGTGTTTTTTAGGGCAAAAAAATTGAGTACATTTCTGCATTTATTTAACCTCCTAGTCTGCTAACGTTCGTAATTCACAAAGCTGTTACAAACCCATGCAGGGCAAAGCAACAGGTTCACTTCATACCTGTACTCTGCAGCTATACATTCTTACATTGCTTTCACCTGCCAAGCTGGCTCTGCCTCTGGATAGGCAGAGCCAGCTGTCAATCCCGCAGCTGGGTGGATCCAGACAGTATTGTCGGGATCCGTCCCGGCTGCGGCGGCTCAGTATACCGCAAGCTGTAGCTTGCGGTATACTGAGCTTTGGGTCACGGGAGAACGCTAGTTTGTGTTCTCCCGTGACCCTTAGGAGAACTATGGGGAAAAGCCCTATTCTCTTTTAAGTCCAATGAATGTCTTTGTTGATAAACAACAAAATATAATTAAAGCTGGCAGGGAGTGAAATGTTGGTGAATGTAAAAAAAAATCTAATTTTGTCATCAAAATCAGGACAAAAATGTGTACTCATCCCTAACCCTGAGATAACCTTGCATCATGAACTTTTGCAAGATATCCTGCTCCACATAACAAGCATTTGCACGTTTGTCAGATGTAACTATACACATCTGTAGAACACATGGCTGGCTAACATCTAAAGTCTGTATGGAGTTTTACCTGTGCCTTCAGTTAGAAGTGCAATCTCTTCATCACCTCCAGAAATGGATGCTGTTATTGATCTCATATTCTGTAAAAGGCTACAAATATACAATACAAGCAGTTATACCATTTGATCAAGTTTACACAGATACAGATGTCTTATGGGGAGAAAAGAGACTCAGGTGGTGCTTCCTTCTACCTGCAGCACACTGATGACATAATTCTTCCAAATTGCTCCTATCAGGCCTTGATAGGAGCTCACAGCCTTTTTTTTTTTTTTTTTAAGATAAGAAGTGGAGGCATATCAAAAAATGATACAGCTGGTGTATAATGTGACATGTCAGGAATGTATTCATGCAGATTTGTAAAGTTACCAATACGTTCAATTTCAAGAGCAATGATGTGTTGTAACCTGTAACTATCTATCCATCAATCAATCAGAAGTAATCGTTCATTAGTCTGGAACTCACACCTCAGGATAGTAATATTGCTAATTTGTTGCTATGGGTTATTTCACTATGTACAGATCTCTTCACGAACAAGAAATTGGTTGTAATATTGGTTTAGTAAAAGAAAACCATTCATAACGGTGTAAAATAGTCTTTTTCAAGTTATTGGAATAACCAAACCTATAAGCAGATAGTTAGCATTCTTGCTTTGCCATCCTGGGGTTCTGGACTCAATTCAATCACGTAAACTGCCCAAATTATTACATTCTCCCTGTGTTTATGTGCATTACCTCTGGGTGCACCAGCTACTTCACCACTATCCAAAAACATACTGGCAGGCAAAGCTAAACTCCAGTCAGCACAAATATACATTAAATGGCAAACTACTCTCTTATCCTAACAGTTTGGTGTCAGTTTTTTTTCTGTGTACTGCCTCCTCAAATATGTGCAGCTAAGACCTCTAGAGCAATGGTTTCCGGTAATGACAATCAGTCGCCGATACTCTCTTTTCTTTAACAGGGTGACTGCTCTTATTACCAACCCCTTGAAGGATGTCAGTGCTGACAGCCTGACAGTCTGAAGCTGACAGCTTTTTCTCCATTCAGATCGGCATCTATCAGGTTACACAGTAGGGAAAGCCTCCCCGCTGTGTAACGTGTCATGGACGGAGCTCTACTTGTTAAATACAGGCAGCGCTGCATCCGGCTTTTGACAGGTAGTTAGCTTACACAGCAGCGGGCTTGTGTAACCTAATTATTGAGGCAAGAGCTGTCACAGCCTCTACTCTTTGTTAGAGGCGTGAACTCTGTGGATGGCTTGGACCAAAGGCAAAGCGCCATTGGTCCAATCTGTCCAATCAAAAAAAGAAAAAACACTGAGGCCATCGATCTCAATGCCCCAGAAGTAAGGAGCAAGTGAGGGACAGGGAGGCTCCTCCCTGTCTCCTCCCTTCCTCCTTTACACTAGCTTGGGTACAGGTTGGGGCAGGGCTTTGTCAGACAGGGGCAGGGCTTCGCCTGACAGGGCGTGACTTCGTCCGACGGGGGCGGGATGCGCTGGAGGCGAGGCAGGGGAATGCCTCGCCCGGAACAAGAGGTACCGCACATCACTGCTGTGTGTGTATGATTGTGGTAGAGATTTTAGGTAGGATGCATTTTCAGGGGTACTGATATGAATAGTGAAGTCCATTGTAATATGCTAAGGAAACACAGCACTGTCTAAATGAGCTAAATATTATACTAACTGCATTATTTTACTCACAGCAATGCTGGGAAGTCAGAAGAATACCTGATTGTCCTGGAATCATTGAACAGATAGACATCTCCCAGCACAGTCCCAGCCTTTACAGACAATCCGCCGGGCTTCTGGAGTTTATCCAACATGTTCTGGATTAAGGTGGATTTCCCAACTCCTGAATCACCTAAAGATACAAAATAAACCAGATAATTAATGAGTAGCCCAGAAAGGATATAGACGGACACTGATATAAATTGATCCACGGATACTCAGGAGTTAAAAGTTCACCTGTGAAGAGGACAGGATGCTTGGCTATCAGGAGGAGGCTGCTTAGGAAGGAATATCTCACGCTGTCCACAGTAGAGATGAAGCGCTGGACGGTGCCCCTTCTGTCCTTCAAAGGGCTAAACTCTGAGAACAGCAAAGTCTCTAAAAAGACAAAAAGGGGCAGACAGGTTTAAATTATATCAGTCACGCACAAAGACATGTCCAGAATAAAAATACACCCCTGAACCTCCTGCAACGTTTCCTAATTTTTATGTTTTTTCTTTATAATAACTGAGCAAAAGAGAACCCTCCTAAAGGAAAAAATAAATATTTTTGTACTCACGGTAAAACCATTTTCTTGGAGTACACTGAGGGAGACAGGAATTCTAAGAAGACTCACATTGTAAGAAGGAGCAGTAAAGTACAACCATAATGTAGCACCACAAAGCTGAAAGCAGAGCTTGAGTATGTAATGTTCAAATATGGCTTCCAACATGTATATAAAATTAAATTTGCATACATAAAAACAAGGTTTTAAATCATTAGCAAATACTGATAGGATAATTTACCATGAAGAAATATTATTTACATGCTTTTCTAAAAAAAAAAAAACCTTGAAGTCTATAGATTTCCTTAAAAAGAAACTTCTTTTTAGTAAGTGCAAGGAATATAAACCAGGACCAGCATTGTAAAAGAGACACTAGTGCATTAGCACATTATACTTTTACCCTGACAGTGTGCTCCCCACACAATGACAGTGGAGCCATCCAGAAATCCAACTTTCTGGTTATAGAGAGAAGTACACCTACCCTACCATCCCATAATGCATTGCACAGGGCCCCGAGCCTCAGTATGTGGTTTCTTTTAGACATAACAGAAATAGATATAAAACTTTAGTACAATACTCATAAACTTAAAGCTCAACTCCAGGCAGAATGTCTTTTTTGGTTTTGAAGAGAGTGGGAAAGATCATTTTGGTTTTGAAGAGAGTGGGGAAAGATCAGGTTTTTATCCCTGTCTGTGACTTAATTGGGGAGACGAGAGAAAATCTCCACAATGGAGACACAGACTGCAACAATAATCTGACAGATCCTACCTTTTCCTACTGTTTAAAGGTACTCTAAATAAATAAATAAATACATTTAAAAAGATGACCCAAAACCCTTCTAGTTACCCTTTAATTTAATTCCTGTTGGAGGAAAACATCTTGTTGTAAGGGCACATGCTACATAATTGCAAAGAAAATATAAAAAGGGATGGGTGAGAGACAGAACTGTACTGCCCTCCTCTTCTGATGATAAATGATGTCTATTTTACAAATAACACCAACATAAATATGTATACAAGTGACCCCTGTGAGCAGACGATAAGTGATAAATGAGCTGCGATGAAATACACTGTCAGCACAATGGGAAAAAAGTAACATTTAAAAGGAATAAAAGAGATGGTAGGCTATTTTTGGTGAGTGACACCAACAAACGCTGGCACGATGTACTGCGAGAGGATGCTGTCAGCTCTGATGATTGTCTGTGTGGTAGGACTCTGCAGAAATCCCTCCAGCTATAGAGGATGGGTTGCAGAAGGTTAACCACTCTTACCAATCTATAAGTGTTTATGAGATATCGTACACTTTGCGGATAATGTGGAATCATTTGGGGGAAGAAGAGTGTCTGTGTAGCCTGTAGCAACCTGACGTCACCTGTGCAGATTAAAGCCCAATTCAAAGTGTCCCCATTGGGAGATTTGTCCTCTTCCGGTCAAAACTCAAAATGTAGGATTTTCCCTCACTTTCAACACTAGGAAAAATAGAGAGGGTGAATTTCCCCAGTTAGAACAAATATAGCTATAAAAAACTTTTTATGGATGGAGGAAATTGCAAAAATCCACTGCTGAAGGAGGACCCAATGAGCCTCCAAAACATGTTGACTTTTTATGATACGAGTCTGAATAAAATGAAAACTGGACTTAATACGTTCTGCTTCTGGTGCTTTCCTTCTTGCACACTCCCTACTTGAGCTGAGAAATGGCCACCACTTCTGAAGAAGCTGCCTGAGGGTAATCATTCCCACCGCTTACCTGACTGAAAACAACTAGTACTTTGGGAGATCCATCACCCCATACCTTTCTTCTTACGTTTTTACCTATTTGGCAAGTTTTTTCTATTTTTAAATGTTTTTGCATATATCTACTGCTTGCTAGCTGAGAACCTCTTCTGCTTACCTTTTTGGCTGCATTCACCTGTAATCCACAGCTGTACAACACACACCCCCTCTCCCCTAGTGGAACATGTTCTTTGCCACAAGATGTCCTCAGACATCTGGGTTTAATGATGCCCAGGATCATTCCTAGAAGACTGCGGACACACTGAGTGCACGGCACCATGGGATCTCAAGGGACATCACCACAACTCCCTCCACTCACAGTGTGCTGATGCAAAGAGCAGTGACAACATCAGATCAGAGCCACTATCTGCATCATCGAGGACCTATCACAACCTCAAGAACATCTGAGAAGCAAGAGGACCCTCTTGTCACGTGACCAGGCTGAAGACGTCTAAAAAAGATGAGTATAAAAAGAAAAGCATAGCACACACGCAAATTTTATAAATAAGCAATGTGACGGACCCCCGTACTCAGGATGAGTATGTCCGCCGCTGTCTTCTTCCTTGCTGAGGAGATCTTGCAACCTGAAGATCCTTAGCTCCCAGTTTCCCCAGTCACTAGCCAAGGCTTGAGTGTAGGTGAAACAAACTCTCTGCTTTATTGAGCAACTGCACAAACTTTTATACAGCAAGTATAAATAATCCCATCATATCCACCCTCCCCTCCCAGACAATCGGTCTGCTCAACACCACAGGTGTCCACCTGCTAACAAACTCCAGACAGCCATAGCAGAGCCTTACCAGAATGTCATTGTTCTGAGCTCCCTCAGAGAACAATGGAAGATAACGAGGGATGGTGCTGATAGTCTTTCCCTAACCAGGTCACACAGCATAACGCACTCAAACATAACTCAACCCCAATACACATTTAACTTATAAACTCATCACCATGTCGTCACAAGCAAGAGCTCATTATTATTGAAATATTGGGTCTCCTAGGCAGTTCTCCAACACAACATGCGACCCAAAATATGGAGATTACCAATTCCAAATCCGACAGTTAAACTCAGTAAAAGTTAAACATGAACAAATGGAAATAGAAAGAGCAAGCATTCATCCGGTGATTAATGTGTCCTGTCTGGCATAATATTTGTCTCCAAGCAGATGGCCTTTAACTAAGTGAAAAATTACAGCACAGAGAATGAAGAAAAACAAAAGAATAGAATTGGACGCAACAAAAACTTCATAATCGAAAAGTAGAAGATGCACGGCAAGGACATCACTCGACAACCCTTTTATTCGGCACTATAAATATTTCTTATTCCTTCAGGCCGTCGGGGCGTTTTATCGCCTCTGTATGCTAAAAAAGTATAATGCAAATAGAATAGATATAGAGCTGGAGGCACTGGGAACACAGAGGCATTATGGTAGACACATAAGATAAATGCCCAGAGACACAAAACAACAACCAGATGTAAAATGTGAGATCAGTAACTGCATTGTGATAAAGAGTTAAAGTAAATATAACTACACAAGGATACATTTAGAAAAGAAATTCAAACAAATAAGAAGCAAACACCAAGATTAAATAAACTGCATGAAGAGGAGGAGACAATAGAACTTGTGAATGTGAATTCTATGCAAACCAACCAAATTAGAATAGGGCAGGGGGGCATTGGTCAAGGGTGTGTCCAGGAGCTGAGCTGGGCACATGGGCCTCTGTACAGCTCTCCCTCTACCCTGCTGCTTTACAGCTCTGGAGTTGCCTTACTTCCCTCATCAAAGGCAGAAATGAGGGATCCTGTTCATCCAGGTCTTTGGTGCCACCTCAACTGCAGTCAGCTGCCTCATCTTGCATAAAGGTATATTTTGATACAGCTGACCCTCCACTCTCACCACAGCCTACCAAGATGGTGTCTGATCTCATGTCCTCAGCCAACCTTAGAACTTACCCCTGGCATCCTGCCTTGCTCTGGAGGAGAGCCACATGCTTGGTCACCCTACTCCTCAATCCTGGATTCTCCGGGCTCCCTGTTGTGGATCCCAGTAAGGCCTATCTAACTTCACAGGACTTCCTGGAACCACATGAGCCTGCAATGAACTTATGAGGCCCTGAACAACCTGTAGGCCTTTCTGGATCCTCCTCCATGGGTTCAGCGGTTGTATATGGAGTGGTGGCCTTGCATACTGGTGATTCAATCCCCTCAGCTCCTAAACCCCAGCGGCTTACTAGTTTGCGAGACCCAATTCAAACAGGCTGAGGGACTCAAGCTAGACCTTATGCAGATCTTGATTCCTCTCCATTGCAGAACTCTGCCTCCATCGATCATGAGACTCCACAGTCTTCCTCTGTCACACATGCCGCATGGTATGAGCCCTGGAATGGTTACAATTGTACTTGTACAGATACCTGCGAACCCAGGTTTATCGGTGCCCCTTTACCAAGCTTCCCCTATTGCCAACGATCTACAATGTCTGCTCCCCCATATCCTCTTCAGACTCTGAGATAGAAGAACCTACATCTTGGTAGGACTACATTAAATTTATACCTGCGAAGAGCAAGTTTTGCATTCTTATTCAAGTGAAGTATGACACCTATCTCTTGGAAATCAAAGTCACACCACATTGAAACCATGGAGGATGACAACTCCAATCAACAAAACTGGGCATACATAAACTTCAAGCTCAAATGATCTCTCAAAGCTCAACTATCAGAGATATACATAGGCACCGGGAGGACCTGGACAGCTGGAGTTGCAGGAACAACATATGACTTAAGGTGCGACCAGTTCGTAACATCTGAAAGAAACTTTACAAGCTATATTTAACAATATCCTTGGTGAACCTGCAACCCATAGGATGGAGATCGACTGTGCCCAGAGGGCACTTCATTCCAGAGGCAACTTCTTGCACCTTAGACATGTAATCTCTAGAATTAATTCTTATTATCTATAGGAAGATATTATGTTGAAAGAATGTAACATGAGAATGCTTAAATTTGATGGAACACCGACACAGATTTACTTGGATCGTACCAGGCTCATCGTTCAACAACATGGACTTCTTTCACTGTTGCTCCCTATGCTCAGCCTGATAGAGAGAAGAGATGGTAAATCTGTAACCTTAAAGGTACTGGAGGACCTTCCAGCCTTCTGTAAGGAACTCGCTATTTCTTGGTTGAAACTCCCAGGTTAGGACCCCTTGCCCATCCTACCACAAAAGCCCCTGCGGTGAAACCTCCCAGACCCCGGGGATCCCAGCGTGATTGATTTTGCCCCTTTGAGAGGGAATCCCGAGTCTCATTTTAAGACAGCTTGCCCCTCAATTTGTACTTCATGTTTGGTCCTGTTTTCTCATTTTTTCTCCCTTACACATGGACCCTATGTCAGAGGAGGATATTGCTTTTAATTTTCTACGGCTATGGACAGATCCTGTTTCCCCCTTCTCGATTATGTTGACACGGAGGTTTTTGCTAGCTGCTTTATGTTATTATTATACAGGATTTATATAGCGCCAACAGTTTGCGCAGCACTTTACAATATAAGTATGACATTACAATCACTATAGAATTCAAGACAAGATGGTAATGAGGGCACTGCCCCTGAGGCCTTACAATCTATAAGGGAGGGGCCAGTGATACATGAAGAGGTAGCTGTGTGGGGATGAATTGTTTGAGAAATGATAGTTCAGTGGTTAGGTTGAAGTGGGATAGGCTTCCCTGAAGCAATGAGTCTTAAGGAATCGACTAAAGGCAGTCAGAGTGGGAGATAGTCGGACAGTTTGGGGTAAAGAGTTCCATAGGATGGGAGAGACTCTAGTGAAGTCCTGGATAATAATTGTTATATTATTTTAACATGCCTTTTAACTTCTGCTAGATTTTTTATTCTGCATGGGTTATTTTACTTCTCCGCATTCCCACCTTTGTGGGGAGAACACTGGATCTTTACTTTCTCCAGTCAATACTGGTTGGACATAATTATCAAAGTGCACTGCGCTAATAAATAATCAACTACAATTAATAGAGGTGCACCAAAATTAGATTTTAAACCAATTTTTTTCTAACCTTTTTAATTTTTTTTCCCCCTAAACTTTAAATTTGTTTGATATATTTCATTTTTATATTTTTATTTATTTATTTTAGAATAGATTTTTTAACTTTACCATCGGGGGCTCTGGGGAAATATCCGGGGTCTAAACAGACCCCGGATATTTCCCTTTTAAAATAGAAAAAGAGATTAAGGACACAGATTCCTCATTCTCTTTTTCTGCAGCCCCTGTTATAAATGAACAGGAATCCTCTATACTGAGTGCTCCTGTCCATTCATAACTTGTGGAGATAGTATGTTTACCATGTCCACAATCATGAATGAAAAGGAAGTGATGTAGATCAATCCCATTCATTCATATTTGAGGATATAGTAAACATACTCTGTCCTCAATTATTTACAATCACTGATCA